TGGTTAGCCCAAACGGCATAACCAGGAACTCATAGTGTCCGTACCTGGTTCGGAATGCCGTCTTGGGGATGTCTTCTGCTCTCACTTTTACCTGATGGTAACCTGATCGTAGATCTATTTTAGAAAAGACCTGTGCACCCTGCAACTGATCGAAAAGGTCATCAATCCGGGGGAGAGGATACTTGTTTTTAATTGTTACCTTGTTTATCCTTCTATAATCAATACACAGCCTCAACGTTCCATCTCCTTTCCTTGCGAAAGTAACCCCGGCACCCCATGGGGAAATGCTGTGTCTAATGAAGCCACTGTTTTGTAGCTCAGTGATTTGTTTCCTTAGCTCTTCCATTTCGATGCGGCTCATTCGGTAAGGAGCTACCGAAATGGGTTGGGTTCCTGGCTGTAAGTCTATGGTGAACTCGACCTCTCTGTCCCCTGGTAGACCGGGCAGTTCATCCGGAAATACGTCTGGAAAGTCTCGGACTACTGGAATCTCTTGGATACAAACTTCCTTCTTGGGTTTACCTAGTTAGGGAAAATACAATATCAACGCACTGGAAATTAAGAAGAAAAGAATTTGTCATTAGGGAGAATCAGTACCGAATAATTTTATTAACTTGTAAATGGCTCCTCGTTGGGAGGATTAAATACAATCTTTTTATTAAAGCAGTCTATGGTGGCGTGATACGCCGCCAGCCAATCCATTCCTAGGATTACATCAAAATCCCCTGTGTTTAACCCTATCAGGTCTACCCTCAATTTCCTATCTGCTATCTCCACGGCACATGCCCTGTAGACAACCTCTCCTAGTAATGTCTCCCCCCCAGTGGTAGATACAAACAATAATGAATCAAGCCTATCAGGTGATACACAAATTTTGGAAGCAAGAACATGTGAAATAAAAGAATGTGATGCACCAGTATCAAACAAAATATGAGCAATATGGCCAGAGATAGTATACATACCATGTACCACGTCCGGGTCTGCATCGGCATCCTTCTGGGTAAGGTTGTAAACTCTGCCCTGGATTGGAGGCCTCCCTTGATTCTGGTTCCTAGGGCACTCCCTCGCATAGTGCTGGGCACTGCCGCATATGCGACAGGTGTTGTTGAGGCGGTAGCAGGGTCGGTCCCCATGATTCCTACCGCAGTACTGGCAGATCTTCCCACGAGTTGCCCCCATAGCCTGAG